GGTCGGGCGGTAGAGGGCAGCTCTGGTCCGAGGGGATGGGGCGGGCGGGACGGCCACGACATCCCGGTCCCCATCACCATCACCACTCCCATCCCCAATCCCCATCACCTCCACCCCCCCATGACCACCACACCCTGTCACCTGCATCACCCCCATCCCTATCATCTCCATCATCCCCATCATGCCCATTATCCCCAGCCCCAGCTGGTCCCTTTTAGGGAGAGGCATGGTGGGAGGGTTGTTTCCAAAGGCGGCAATACCTGGGAGCCACTGTTTTGGTTTTTTTCTTTTCTGTTGCACATTAATCAGAAAATACATTGATGCACATCTTTGATTCTTCTTTTTTTCCAGAACCTCTCTATGAAGTTGCTTTGTGAGTACAGTTTTTCACCTGGGACATTGAGACTTTGAGGGCATCACACTGATATCTGTTTCCAAAAAGCCTCTGCATAGTGAAAAGCTAAAGCTTTCTTTGACTTGGAGGGGGAGGATCTGAATACCTTGGTAGTCCATTTAGCTAGCAGCATGAGGACATTAACATTTTAGTGCACGAGGTAGCAAGAGTCTGTTCTTTAAAATGTTAGAATGAGAGAAAGATATTTTGAGTCCTTTGCTCTGCCTTGTAGAAGCCATGAGAAAACTGTTCTCTGTAGTAAATTCCCACCGTTATTTCACAAAGCAAAGGACAGGAATTCTCAGCTCTTCCCTCAAGATAAGTTCCTTCTATACATACCTTTCTCTTTAAGGAACACATCCCAGTGCTTATCCAAGTATTATTTTGTGCAATTCCTATTTTCTTACAATTATATGAACATACCTTCTGCACTGTCCTAATCTCAACCTTTAATCCTTTCATACTACTTTCCTATTCAGAGACATACCTTAGCCACCTGTAGCCTCACATATTGCCGTTTTCCCCGGTTATTACTGGCAGTTACTTTCTGAAAGCTAGACTACCTGCTGGTAACTTTTTTGAGTATAATATGATAATAGCATGAGAGTTTACGGTACCAATGCTAACTGTTTATTGCTTTTTTTGGTGTGTGTAATTCTTCTAATGTTACTTCCTAGTGTCTTTCAGAGCCTCCCAGGCCCTCACTGATTTAATATTAATTTTGCTGTTCCACAGATTATGTGCTAGATCTGGTCTTTGACTAAGATGTAAATCAAATTACTTCTGATTTAGTTGTCCTTCTCAATGATATCTCTCTGTTGTTTCAGCCATAGCACTGCAGATATCACGAGGTTGGAGACTGATGTGGAAGTCCCTGTTAGGTATCTACAGAAGGAGACAAATTCTAAGACTGAAACATCCAATGACACTTTCACCATGAAAAACAACGGCCATGGCAGCATATGCATCAGGAAAAATCCTGAGTATGAGAACCTTATGAATGCAATGGAATCAGAATTTGAAATAGAAAAAAATTACTAGAGCACCAGCTTTTCCACATGAGCAGCGATGCAGAGCTGCAGATACTGAGTGGTAAACTTTACCAAAGGAAATTCTTCTTCTTTTCTGCCTTCTGCTCTGATAAATACACCAGTCTTGCTGCTTTCGTTGACCCAGGGGAACTGCATAACCCTCTAGGGCTTTGGCAAATCAGGGCCTGCCTGTTGGTGCAGAAACCTCAGTAGGGTATCCACCTACTTTTATAGAGCTAATAGTTTCTGAGCAGCCTGAAGGACTAAGGTGAGGAAGAGAGAATCTGAAGGAGTGGAAATACAGATGTCTGTAGCCTGCAAATCAAGGTGTAGCTGGCTGCAATGCTACCAGCCAGTAACATCAGCAAGGTGGACTCTTAAGTGCGTGTTCCCCTGTTAGGAGATCCCAGACTGCGAGGAGCCAGGGGTTGTGCTGGAAATGGACGTCCTCTGGCTTTTACAGCTCAACAAATACTTATTGTACATCCTGCTTGTCCTTGAGTCTTGTTTGTTAGAGCATGGGAAAGGGACCGCAGAGGGGGATTGATGTCCCAGGAATGTCATTTTTGCTCTAAAACTGGAGCTCATTGGCAGAGGAAGAGGGAACATCCCTGTAGGTGATGAGCCTCCTAACTGCCACACTCTGGTTTTCTCCTGGAAAAGCAGAATTGGTGTTGAAGCATTTTATTTGTACAGTGTGGGGGCCAGAGGCATAATAAAATAGAGATAAATTTGAGGCATTTGGAATAATGCTTGAGCAAGGGATCTCCCTGGACGCAACAGATATTGACACTGATTCACTCTGTGGGACGTGAGTCAATGTGTCTGATTACAACAGAGATATTAATGCTCACCTGTGTTATGGGGATGCTGTGAGTGCTCATGTCTGTAAAATGCCTTGAAAAGTGCTTGATTAGTGCAAAGTATTTTCTTTCCCAGGGCAAATACAAAAGGCTTCACAGGATTTTGTTGCATGTGAATTCTGACTTCCTCCGTATTTCGCCATCCAGTGCTGTCATTTTTCCATTCCCTGCTAATTTATGCTTTTTCTCAGTCTCCTGATTTAATTCCACAGAGCAGGCAGGGGTACAGTTATGGCCATCGTTTGACCTGGACGTTTGACTTGGGTTTCCCATTTAAAGAGGAGAGGACAGGAGGGTGCATCAAGTGAGCCCACACCAGACTCCTGGTATGACTACACCTCAACCACAGCCCCCAAATCTAGTTGTCAGGGTCTTGGTGCTGCCCCCACCATGCAAAGTCACAAAACTGCAGCCACCTACTACTGCAGTGAGAGCACAGCGAGACACAGTGCTCCAAACAGTGAGGACGTCAGGCTGAGACCCGGAGTCGGTGGAAAAACTCTCATTTCAGTGAGCTGGTTAGAGCATCGGTGCTTGAGCTGGGCACATTTAGGGCTGAAGGTCTGCCATTAGCACCTTTCTTCTAGACACTTCAGCTAGTTCAAGTTATTTTAGGAATTTATCACTCGCAGCAGGGTGTAAAGTGTTATGCTACTAAATTGCTGTCAGAGGTTAGAAGGACTCTGAGGATGCTTAATACCAAGTCTTCCTTCATTGCCAGTGGACGGCTAAAGTATGCTCAAGAGCCTGAGAAGAGACGTCATCTAAACAGTATTACAAACTTGCTTGTGGTTTGGCTCAGGAGTTAAAATCCTTGACTTTAATTTCATGCCATTGCTCAACACATTGGTTTGCTCTAAGAAGCAGTTATTTAAAAAAAAAACCCAAATGTTCTGCCCCTTCCTATATTTTGGCTCTTGGTGACTCAAACCAAATATTCTCTTTCAAGTGGAAAATGGATTGGTGGCCAACCTGGGCCATGGCTGAGCACGCCACGGTCGCAGTGTCGCGGGAAGGTGATGGCTGTGTTGGCTCCACAGGGCTGACGGGAGCACACGAATGCACTCAGTGAATTAAGGCCCCGACCATTGAATCTGATCCCAGGGAGCCGTGGTGAGGAAAGGAAGCACTACATGCTGAAAAACCATTTCCTATCCACTTTTTGAGCACAGAGAAGCTAGGAGGATAAGACACAGGGCAAGGCAGAAGATATCGGCAGCGAGACACAGGAATTCACTTGCTCCTGAGAAACTGTTTCCGACACACATCTTCCATGCCAGGGCCAGGCCAGGAGAAGTTGCTGCAAAGCACCATGACTGTGGCTTTGGAAATGCCATGGCAGCGAATGCACGAGCACTGCTGGGAGGAGGGCAGAGCAGGTCCCACACCACCACCCCGGAGGCCTTTGGGGAAGGGACACGGCTGACCCAGCCCAGCAGAAGGCTGTACGGAGTCCACACGCAAGCCCTGGCGTTTCTGGAGGGTGAAAGGGGTGGACAGCCAGGTTGCTCTGCGGGAAGTGCAGAGCTGTTGTGATGCTGCTCTGGGCGTGCGTTCACTGTACTGCTGCTGTTGGCTTCTCTCTGGACCTTGTCTGAAGGACCACAGCTCCCGCCTGAGCCCAGAAGGGCAGGGGAGGGGGCTACCAGCTGCCGCAGGAGGAAGCGGTCGGGATCTGAGCAGTCTTGCAGAAGGGGGAGAGGAGGAGCCTAATCCTTCAGGAACAATGGTGGGTGCTTTGCAGACACCGGGGACAAGAGATGGGGTCCAGCTGCATTAGTGGCACTGGAGATCCTGTGGGGACCTGATCCCTTGCTCAGCTGGAGCACGACAGGGCTCAGAGAGAGATAACAACTCCCAGGGGGGATGCCTGAAGCTGAGGGAGTCCTCTGTAAGGCAGAAGTGAGGAAGCACTGCAGTTGTGTGCTCAAGAGACTGGGGGGTGGGGTGGAATTATTTTCCTCCTCTTCTGGTTCTTGCAGGCTTTGGAGCTGTTTAGTCAGTGTCTTTTCTAGATCAGCCATGCTTCTGCTGCTGTGCTTTAAAATCACAAGATCATCTTAAAATTAAGAAGCCCACATGCCCTACATTAGGTTTAAGACTTTTCTTGGAATGTGCGTTTTGGCTTCTCCTTTTTGCCAGCCGGTTCCTGAGCTACAAGGCTATACTTTACGTTTCCAAAATCTTCCTCTCAAGCAGGAGGGCCGAACTGTACCGTCTGTAATGCAAAACCTGTCACTTTCATTAACCCTGAATTTTGTGCAGTCCTAACAAGGAGCCCCCAGACTGTGAGCCCCGTGCTAATGGGGTGCAGGCTTTGCTGTGGGCTGAGCATTCTGCCACTGCTGCTTAA